CAGCGCGGACGCACTGGCACACAGCTGGCCGCGGGGCCTTCGCAAGTATGCGTTTCTCCCAGTGAGCCTTCTTGCACAGCTGTGCAAGGACAGGAAGGACGAGGAGCAGGTCCTGTTGGTGGCGCTCTATTGGCCAAAATCAAGACTTTGTAAAAGAGCATAATAGGACCCCTTTAACAAATTTTGTAAAAATAAAATAAAAAAATTCTATAAAATTTGAAACACAAATACACAAACTGTATTAAAGTCTGTAAAATTGGTTTGTTTATACGCACCAAGACTGTGTTTAATTACTTCAGTAAATATTTGATATTAATATTTCAAGTAACTTTTTATTATCGTATATGTAACTTTTTTTTTTTGTATATTTATAATTTTAAAATTACAATTCTAGTTATTTAAAAATTAATCATTCTAATATACTGATTTGGTGCTCAGGAAAAAGTTCTTGTCAGTGTTGAACACTTGCTTCATATTTTTGTGGAAAATGATACATTTCCCAGGATGTGTTATTGAATAGAAAGTTCAGAAGTCTAGCATTTATTTGAAACAACACTTTTGTAACAATGTGAAAGTCTTAACTGTCATTTTTGATCAGTTTAATGCATCCTTGGTGATTGTGATAATTTCTGGCTTTTGAACAGACTTTTGAATAGTGTATATTCAGAATCAGACTATGTAATTTGTGGGCATTTTTCTTTGTTTGTTTTGATTTTATGTTTGTTCCATTTAATGTTTTTTTTAGGTTTTCCTTTTATACTTTTTTTTTTTTTTTTAAACATGTTTAAATTTTTGTTAACGATAACACTGATTCAAACAAGATAAAAACCTACATGGGATTCTAGGTGACTGTAGTTTTTTTTGGTTGTTGTTGCTGGTATTGATCTGACTAGTTTTTATTTATTTTTAAGGTCGTGGGCGTCCACCAACTGAGCCGTTACCCGATGGGTGGATCATGACATTCCATAACTCTGGCATTCCAGTCTACCTCCACCGGGAAACCAGAGTTGTCACCTGGTCTAGACCTTACTTCCTTGGAACAGGAAGCATTAGGGTAAATGGTTTGGCTCCCCTAAGATAATTCTGTTTACAAATTGAGTGCTTTGCATTCTCATGCACCTCATCCCTGTATTCTACTCATTTCCCCCCCAGAAACATGACCCACCAACCAGTAGCATTCCCTGCTTGCATTATAAGAAAATGAAGGAAGTAGAAGAACGGGAACAAAATGGAGAGGTGACTCCGTCTGCAGAGGTGTCTCCAGTGAAATCTGGTGAGGAGGGCATCCCATTGGAGAGAGTCGATGAACCGGACTCTACTGCCACAGAAGAACCGACCGGCAGACCAACATCAGAAGATCCAGATCTTGACCTCATGGAGCCAGGAGGATCTTCAGAGGGGAAGGAGAGCCAAGCCAATGATATTGCACAGGGAGCGCTGGGCCAGGTCAGAGCCAAGGTGGAGGTGTGCAAGGATGAGTCTGTTGGTAAGAGGATGCGGTTTCACGCTCTCCTGTGCATCACTTTAAAATCCACATGGTTTGTAAACTCTCTTCTCGTGACTTGTATCCCAGACATTGAGGAGTTTAGAAGCTACCTAGAGAAGTGCTTTGATTTTGAGCAAGTGACGGTTAAGAAGTTTCGCACATGGGCTGAGCGCAGACAGTTCAACAGGGACATGAAGAGGAAGCAGGCCGAGTCTGAGAGGCCCATCCTACCAGCCAATCAGAAGCTCATCACACTGTCCGTACAAGATGCCCCCACAAAGAAAGGTACTTGTCTCTATGAGTCATTGCATTGGTGAATTGAGCAGTACACAACACGTGGTGTTTTAACAAGACTGACTGTGTTTATATTTCAGAGTTTGTCATCAACCCCAACGGGAAGTCAGAAGTGTGCATTTTGCACGAGTATATGCAAAGAGTGCTCAAAGTGCGACCAGTTTACAACTTTTTTGAATGTGGTAAGTAGCATAATGCATAAGACTAAAATTGTAATTGAGAAGCTGTTTGAAGCTGTGAAAAAATAGCCACTAATAAACGCATGTTGAGTTATTTGTGTACTGAGTCTGCATATCTGCAGTATCATTTACAGTTGTGCTAATGAGCTCGCTCGGCAGAATTTATTTATTTTTTTTAATCAATGTACTTAAAATGTGTTATAATGCTGTTGTGAAAGCAATAAACCACTTAAGGCCATGCCGAATGGTTTGGTTAAAGACATTTTGGGCTTGATGTAACTAACAGCTCTCTCTAACCATGATAAAATCGCATTAATTGCCTGTTGTGGCATAACGATTTTACTTTGCATGTGTGTGTGTTTGGTTTCTTCTTTTTTTTTTTTTAATGTAATTGTTTTGTTTACCTAGAAAACCCAAGTGAACCCTTCGGAGCCTCAGTCATTATAGACGGTGTTACATATGGCACAGGAACAGCAAGTAGTAAAAAACTCGCCAAGAATAAAGCTGGTACCTTTTCCCCCATCTTCATCTGAGTCCTTAATGTTTCATGAATAGATTGCTGTAAACGTTTTATTAGGGAACATAAGTATTTATATTGTCATTCTCTTTCTGACAGCTCGAGCAACACTGGAGATCCTTATTCCTGACTTTGTGAAGCAGACGTCTGAGGAGAAGCCTATAGAAGGAGATGAACTGGAGGTACTGCTCTTCTTTCTGAGTGAAATGACAGATTTTTATGTTTGATCAGAGTTTTGTTCTTTGTTGTACTTATGGATGTTTATTTCCTTCTCCGATCCCACAGTATTTTAATCATATCAATATTGAAGATTCAAGGGTGTATGAGCTGACCAACAAAGCAGGTTTACTCTCACCATATCAGATCCTTCATGAGTGCCTTAAGAGGTATGTTGTGATAGAGAGTCTGTCACTCTGTATTACAGGAAATGCATGTTAATATAACCGTGGGTCCTTGAAATGTCATGTCTGATTGAAAAGCAGCTGAAGATCTGCTGTCGTCTGTTCTATAGAAACCATGGCATGGGTGACACCAGCATCAAGTTTGAGGTGATTCCAGGAAAGAACCAAAAGAGTGAATATGTCATGACATGTGGGAAGCACACTGTACGCGGCTGGTGTGAGTATCCATGCTTAAGAGGTTTCATTCAGAGCATTTCACAATGGCATACTTCAGAAATTCTAAATGTTGGTCCACTCTGCAGGTTAATCTCAAGCCACATTCCTAATACTGCTCTTGTTGACTGCAGGTAAAAATAAGAGGGTTGGAAAGCAGCTGGCATCACAGAAGATTCTTCAGATGCTTCATCCTCACGTGAAGAACTGGGGCTCACTGCTGCGCATGTACGGCAGAGAAAGCAACAAGATGGTTAAGAAGGTCGGCGCTGTCTTTTGTCGAAACATAATCTGCATTTTAAAGGGGTCCTATTATGCTTTTTCACTTTTTCAACTTAAGTTAGTCTGTGATGTTGCTGTTTGAGCATAAAAAAGGTCTGCAAAGTTACAAAGCTCAAAGTCCACTTCAAAAGGAGATACTTTATTTAACAGAAATCACTTTTCAAAAACTACACCGAACGACTCGTTTAGACTACAACGCATATTTTCCGGGATTTGTGATATCACAAATATCGACGAATGGGACGAGACCTGGTTGAGCTGCACTGTGATAACACTCGTTGCCTTCTCTAAAATATGTGAAAAATAAGGTGTTTTTCGAACAACCTAGTATGAGAGCCTGTTCTAGTACACCCCCAAAACAAAATCAAGACTTTGTAAAAGAGCATAATAGGACCCCTTTAAGATATTAAACATGAGAGTAATGTTTCTTTTTGTTTGTGTGATTGAGAAGTTAATGTTGGATTCTTGTCGTCTTCAGGAGAACTCGGATAAGAGCGTGATTGAGCTTCAGCAGTATGCCAAAAAGAACAAGCCAAATCTTCACATCCTCAACAAACTAAGAGAAGAGATGATGAAGCTGGCTCGAGAAAGGGTACAGCTGCAAATATGTCCTCTTTCAGACACATCTTGCTCTTCAGATAAATGGAGTTGGCTAAAGATTAAAAACATCCAGCTGACCATAATAAATTCCGTAAATTGACAGCTAAAAAGCTTAAAAAGCTTTCTAGTGTTCACACATTTGTGTCTTATTGTTTTTTCAGGAGGAGGCAAGAAAGAAGCCGAAGATGACTATAATGGAGTCCGCTCAACCTGGCAGTGAACCTCTGTGTACTGTTGACGTCTAGCAAACCCTTTGTCCAGCATTTTGTGTTAGCAGATAGCACTGACCAATGGTAATGGTTCTATAACAAAAGGTCATCATCGTACCATTACTGACTTATGCATTACTTTGCAGTGCAAAATGGCAATACTAGTTACATTTTTATCAGATTAATGAGCTCCGTTCCCAATCCAGTTATTGCCCATAAAGTATGGGTTAGGTAACAGTCATATACATGCACTAAGGGAAGGTAGAATGAGCATTAAATACCTCCAGGTGCACTTCTGCACCTGAACGTGCACAAATATAATGACGGCTGTTGACAATAATATGCCTATATTGAGGAGAATCATACAAATGATGTATGTGAAGTATTATAGATGCTTTTAAGTTTGTGGCTTTTAGATGTTAATAAAATGTTGCTTTTTCCCTTCTTAAACGGCAAATTCATTTCATATTTACTGTGGAACCACAGATTTCAGAGACAGACTATCTCGGTACTCATAACTGATGCGTTTGAACAGATATGCCTGTCATTTTACAGGGATTTGTTCCTTTATGTCTGCTTTTGTGGCATGCAGAGTTGTTCATTCAGTGCACGTAATCTTTTATCTGGAAAATAGGGTTTATAATGGCTTAAAGTGTGTTGGTTTTCTTCAGTGGCCATGTCTAGTTCTTATTGGCATGTGAAGCATTTAAATGTTGTATTTCTAAAGCATTTCATGTGCACACTTCCAACTGCTGTTAAGAAATGCACTTACTTGCTTGAGTGGAATGAACAACCTTTGTGTTTTTGTTTTAATTAAGGAGTGATGTATGCCAATGGTTACCTTGATCAGTTGCTCTACTTATTCAGAAAGCACTGCAGAGAAAACACAAGCACAAGTGTTTGAGGTACTGTAGTTAGTAGAGGTACAAGACATCAGGGAGACAGGATGCTAGTGCGCGCTACTTAAGCTATGTTTTTTTTGGTATTTTTACATTTCGTTATGCTCTGATATAATCTAACTTGCATTAGAGGTTGGTTGGCAATCTTCAGTAGGAAAAAAATGGTATATGTTGCCTTAGTTTTTCCTCTTTTATTGATGGCGCCTTGTTTGAGTCTGCATTTGTGATGCTATACATTATGTATTTGCTGTGGAGTGATGCTTGCTTTCTTGCATTGATATTTTAGGGGGAAAAAATGCCTTCTACGCATGTGCTTTTTTTTTGTGTTTGTCTTAAATTTTTCGGTATGGTTTTGTGGTCATTTGCTGCGGTGGGTGATTGTGTGCACATTTTGTTCAGATGTTATCACAGTGGTGTATTAAATAGTTTGAACTTTATTCATTATTTCATAAGGCAGTCTACCTAAAAACAAAGGTGGTAACTCCATACCTCGAAGAAAATCAGACCATGTCGTTATATTCAATAGCTTGAAGAACAGTGTGAACCAAAGCTTTAAGTCTTATGCATTTTTTTTAGAATATTGCTGCATTCATTAAATGTATATAAACATATATGGAACAAAATATATTAAAAAAATGCAATAACTGCTGGATTAAAATATGGTCCCTGTTTGAAGAAAACCACCACTTCCCTCAAACTATAATGGGAGAAGAGAGGGGGAATTCTGGCCTTAAGGTCTGACAGGAAGTCTGTTTAACACACTGAGTGGGGGGGGAAAAATCAGGTTTTCTTGGGACAGCGACTAAAAAAACTGCAGTGCACTGTCATTGAGTTTAGTATTTTAGTTTGTGTGCTTCTGAATGTTCACTGCGTTTGTGAAGGCACTTTCCTGTTTTCCATGAGCACAAGGCTGCTGCCATACTAAGAGTTCTTAGAGAATGTTTTCCCAATACACGTCTGGAGTGTACGACTTGTCCTGTCAGTCTTGCCAAGTGTGTATTAATTGTGTGAAGAAATGCGTGCTTTTCAGTCGCTATCATTGAAGGGTTAATGTTGGATGATTTGGCTGCAAGTAAAGCTGCCTAAAAAAAATTCTTTTCATGTGACATGATCGCTGGCACAGTGATTTGTTTATGCAAATAAATTGATGACCAGAAACTGATGTCTTGTGCTGTTTTTAATGCAAACAAGAGAGAAAAAAAAGAAACCTGTACAAAAATGTGGTAATGGTTTGAGCACTTTGAAGTCAGTTGAACTTCTAAGAAAAAGTGAACATTTGAATTTCACTCAATGTGTTTAAATGAAAGAGAAACAGCCGTGCTGGCATAATAGATGATGAAGATAACAGAGCTTCAGGTTTCTGTGGTTTGAGTGTCAGCTGTAGTCCACTCTTTCAAACAGCAGGATGGTTTCACAGTGCATGGTCTGGGGGAAGAGGTCAACAGCCATAGCTCTCACTGGACGGAAAGGGGCTCCTCGCACACGGTTAGAAACAGCTCTGCAGAGACTTCAAGACATAAATATACGTTTTAGAATAAAGTTAATTGGGAATATTTTATATTTTCAGAAGAAAGTCAACCTGAAATAATTTGCCATGGTTTTTGTTTTTTTTGAGCCAGGAAAAAGGTTTGTTGTCTTAATCTTATCAAAATATAATAAGCCTCTGATTTCCCTTTTGGCTGATGTCACGCATTTCTCTCATATTTCAACTTTTCACTCAAACCACCGCCATTCTGATATGTAATGCCCATCAAAATGCAATCAGTTCACAATAGTTTGGATGTTGCTATCCTGAATTTGATGTGTAATTTATTGTTCACTTTAAACCGAAAATAATGAACTTACTCAATAAAATTGTTCATCGCTGCTTTGGCATTGCAGGCGACGTAGATGAGTCTCTTCAGATGCTCTGCTCTTCTGATTGCTAGAATAACTTTGGAATCTGGTAAGAATGAGAATATTTGGGCAGAGAACTTAAAAACAAAACACCATGCCTAAAAGTCAAAAGTTACGTTCGGGAGTACTGTACGTACGTAGCCCTGCTCTCGGAGGGTCAACGATTGCTGTGACGTTGGGGGACACAACAGCATTAAGAACAGTGGGGAACACATCTTCAGCCTTTCCACAGTGGAATTCCACATTGGTCAACCCTGAAAATGTACATTTGAAGTGAGTATATCATGGGAGATAAAGAGAGAGAAAAACAAGGCAATGATAATGACATTCTGGCCTACCGTTAGCTTCAGCGTTAGCCTTAGCATCATCCACTGCCTCCTGGCACAACTCTATGCCAATCACCTTCTTCACTCTCTGTTAACACACACAATTGTTTTCGTTGTTGCTCTGTTCATTACTCATATTTTTAGAAGCAAACGCCGCACCTTTGCCAGCGAGATGCCGATGGTTCCTGTTCCACAACACACATCCAGCACAGTGCTGTCCTGGTCCAGCTGTGCCCATTCACCCACAGCAGAGTACAGAACCTCAGCAGCAGGGGTGTTCGTCTGGCAGTATCAAAAATCATAATATTATAAACATTTCAATAGCGCTAACGTAGGACATTTAAACTGAAAGTCAGTATTATTATCCTGTACCTAATATTCTGAATCACATACACGATGGCTTAAAGGAATCAGCTGCCTGGTGCCTTATCAAGCATAGTATTAATTTTCAAGAAATTATATAACAGTCAATTTGTCAGGAGGTTCACCTGAAAGAATGAGTGTGGAGAGATACGGAATTTTAGTCCAAGAAGCTCTTCGTGAATCCATTCTTCTCCAGTCACGTGTTCACATGGCAGGTCCTCTGTACCCGCAGATGTCCTGGGTTGATGCAGATTAATAAAAGAATGTGTAAAGTCATCTAAAATCTAAATTTGGGGTCTTACCTTTGTCCCATTCTCACAAAATACAATGAAGTGATGGCACTTTCTTTTCCTTCTCCTTCAGTAAAATACTGACGCAGGTTTTGTTTCAGTTCCTCAATTTCTTCTTCTTGGAGTTTCTAGGTTGTTTAAACAAGTAAATATTTCATGCAGCAGTAACAATAGATCCACAACCAACATCTAAAGTGGACACAAAAGCAACCACTGAATAAATCTCTTACCTGTGGATTGAAGAAAACAATGGCCATTGTTTGCTTTATCCTGCTTGTTCGGACTGTTAGCTGCCGCCAATGACCCTCATAAGTCTCTGGACTGTATACTGCATAGGGAGTTGTCCTGTTCAGAATATCAATACAAAATCATTTAATAAATACATATACAATGGCTGATGGGTAATGCAGACAAATACTTTACCCCTGGAATTAAAAAAAAAACTCATTTGACTTCATAAATATGGTTAGATTTGGATGCACATTAGGCGTAATCAACAGTTAACAACAGAATTATTTCATTTACCTGATGAACTGCTGGAAGCCCTGCACAACCCTCTTGGCCTCAGAAGATACATGGGTGGTTTCTGATGGACTCACTACTGCACAGGATCCTCCTTTATACTTGCCTAAACGAAAGCCCACTGTCTTATCCTCTCCATCTGCTCCCACTCCAATCACAAACTCACACTTATTCCTGTACTCCGTCTGCAAGGACAAAATCTTTATTAGATAATGACAAATCACATTCAATCATACTATTTCCACAGACTGTATTAAACAAACTATTTATTATGCATCCATTTATTGTTCATTCAACCCTTCACATACTTTATGATAGTTATTTTGTGAGTTAATTAAAGTGTGACTGTGATTAGAATAATTTATGTGAGCGCAGATGATTTACCTGCACAGGTGATGGTCGTATGGCCTCGAGTGGGCAGCATATTTTGTTGTACTTCTCTTTTTGAACAAACAACCAGGGAAGCATGGCTTTGTTGTTGTTGCCAATTTCTCTGAGAACAAGTATCAAGGAGGCTGGTTATATTGAAGTTAAACTTTACTGACCAGCTTTTGCTATACTACTAGAAGCTCATGTATGAACTATATGTTTGACAATGTCATGCAATTTATCTATTTTTGCTATTTATAAAAGAAACATCTGGAAGCTATCCATGCATACGCATGTCACCGGACCCATCAGAAAATACCTGGTCAGTTTCTGGAGAACACCTTCAACTTCTTTCTCTTTCCTTTTCAGCTGTTCTTCATAAGGCACGTTCCACAAGGGTGTCACAGCATTGGCAATCTGGATATTGAGAGGCTCTTCTTCATCCTCCTCTCCCTCCTGGCTACCGGCTGCACGTTTTGCACCAGGCTGTCCACCTTCCGCTTCCTCCTCTTGTTTCCTCTTCTTGAGGATGGGATCAGCTTTGGGCTTGGCCAGCCGTACACTCAGCACTTTACTCTTCCACTGCATGCCGTGCACTGCCTTCATGGCCTTGTCCCTTTCCTCCTGATTCTTAAAAGTGACAAAGGCAAACATCTGTTTGCTAAACAGCTTGATTTTGTGAGGATTGATCCCATGCTTGTTGAGGAACTTCTTCAGGTCATTAAAACCAATGTACTTGGGCAAGTTTTGAATCTCAACTTTAAAGATCTCCGAGGTGAAGAGATCTCCTTTGATGTAACGGTACACACCACCTGCTGCACCCTCTCCTTCTGCTGCGGTTGCTGGCGGATTCTCTTGGGTTTTCTCTTCTATTACGTCATCTGGTTCTTTCTCTGTGCTGGGTAATGAACCAGCTGGATCAGTCTTGTCAAGAGCAACGTCTGTCATTTTGTCCTGCATCAAAGGCCAACAGAACATATTATTAGATTTCTTTTTTTTTTCATTTTGTATTCAAATAGGTGATCTTAATGTTCAGTAAATCAGTTTCAGCAGTGTTCTGCAATGTGCCACGGTGCAATTGTGTAAATGTGTATTTCTACTTTAATAATTACTTTCCCACAGAACAGGACCATTAAAAAACAAATGGAATAGTGACCAGTTACAGCATCTAAGACCCCAATACATAAGTGAATTGACATGTTTATGTGCCAACTAATGGACACTACAAGGCTAAAAAAACAGACTATATTTTTAAGACGATTAAATGCCAAACAAATCACAAGCGAAGTTAATTCTGATATATCTTTAGACCGTCTGAACAAACCTGTAATGTAAAATCTCCTTGTTATTCAGTCAGTGTTCTTCACTATGAAACATTAAGGAGCTCTAAAAGCACTATGCTGTTATGCACGCACGCAAGCTGCCATCTTTAGAAACACGTGTCAAAAGCAGCGTATTGTGGGAACGCCGGTTAAGGTCTATTCCTCTATTTAGTCAAATCTAGCTGTGTAAGACTAATTGTTTTAAATATACTACTTAAATTTAGATCACAAACAATATTCAAAATTCTTTGCGTTTAAACGTTTAATTTTATTTAATTCCAGCGCAGCGCTTAATTTTGTCTAGCGCAAAAGAGCTGGGACTTTTATTTTGAAGTGTAACAAAACTGGCGAAAGTAAGTGCCGAGTCTTTACTCTGACGGACCAAGAAGTTTTGGCTGGAAAGGTTCGTGTTCGGAAGAGAGAGAGAGAGAGAGAAAAGCGCAAATGACTAACAAGTGCTGTTAAACATTACGTGATTGTCTTTAAAATTATCACCGGGGGATGAACTGACAGATTATTGAATGAGAGGCCAAGCACCTTCGACAGTAGCTGTCTAGCTCGCTGCTATCTGATACGAAGACAGCGCAAATTACTGAGGAAAGTCGCGCTTATTCAGAATCGGTTCTGAAGGACTTCAGCCGAACTTTAACAAGGGATGGACGACCCAGCAGTACTGGAGATTTGGGTTTGATTAGAATAACGACTAACAGCGGGGTTTTCAGTGGTCAGATGTGGCTGCTGGAGACGGGAGACGTGTCACTGATAAATAAAGCAGCTGGAGTTAAGAGCCACAGCGCTGACATCCATCCATCGGTCCATTCAGCTCGGTCCGCCCCACAGGGGGAGTCCATCCAGCCTCTATCCCGGACCTGTAGGATTTTATTTACCCTAAACTTCACCGCCCGGGGAATTTAACACTTCTTAACCCCACTCTGGTGTGGAAAGACGTGTTTTGCCAGGATGGGTTCGTTGTTTCGGAGTGAGGAGATGTGTCTGGCCCAGCTCTTTCTGCAGTCCGGATCCGCATACGACTGCATCAGTGAACTCGGCGAACTCGGGCTGGTGGAGTTCAGAGACGTAAGTCGGTGTATAGCGTCTTGTTTATGCGTATTTCTTGTTTGAAATATTAACTTGGATAGTGCTGAGCTGACAGCTTCACGCACGTTGGCTATCGATGTGATAAGAAAGCTGTCGAGCTATACTCGGCACACTAGGTTTTCGTAGACCAGACCACCCACACATTTCTACGTCTTTAATTGACGTCGTTCATTTGTTGGAATAACATAAGTGCTCGCATCTGTCAGATACCCACATAAACTGTTGGTATGCTTCAAAAATGCATTAATTTTTGGCACGCTTTGTGTTCTTTACTCTCATTATTAAGTCATTAACAAACATAGTTTTATATAATGTTTAACTTTAAGTGTAAGAAATGTTAGAAATGCATATTTCAATTAATTATTATTTCTTAATTATTATTATTAACATTATTATTGTTCATATTTTATTGCATTAACTAGTATTAAAGGTATTGTTTTGAATTTATTAGTATAGAATGTTTTGAATATGTGTAGAATATTCCAGTCATCCTGGATCTGTTTTGATATATATTTTCTTGCTCTTTTTTTTTCCAGCTTAACCCAAGTGTGAACTCTTTTCAGCGGAAGTTTGTCAATGAAATCAAGAGATGTGAAGAAATGGAGAGGATTCTGGGTAAAAACTTAAATTAAACTAGTGCTCTCAAACGATTAATCGCGCGATTAATCGCATCCAAAATAAAAGTTGTTTTTTACATTATATATGTATGTGTACTGTGTATATTTATTATGTATATATAAATACACACACACATACATACAGTATATATTTTGAAAATATTTACGTTTATACATTTATATATTCATATTCTTATATTTTATATTATATATAAATATATTTAATATATAAACAACATATGTTTCTTAAATATACACATGCATGTGTTTGTATTTATATATATATAATGAATATACACACATATATTATGTAAACAAAAACTTTTATTTTGCATGCGATTTAATCACGATTAATCATTTGACAGTACTAAATTAAACGTATTAGATGAACTTAAATTCATTAAATTCTTTAATAAGGGCATACTTCAAAATGATAGTCTTAGTACTTTCTGAACACAAAGCATGTTCATGATGGTTGAGTTATTACCAAAAACAGTTGTAGTACAAATAGGAATTTTTCTTTAAAATATTTGTGAATGAGTGATGGGCAGGACCATTAGGTTATTTAATTTTAGAGTTTATAAACAGTGCATTCAGGTTAATTCAGTAGATTAAGATTGGTATGTGATGGCACTTGAGAAACAGACATTAAAGCTAATTAAAATCCCCCAAAGTAAATCAACAGAATGAACTCAAAGTGGACTTGTATAACAGGGTATCTTCTGCGGGAAATCAAAAAAGAAGACATCCCACTGCCAGAAGGGGAGGTGAACCCAGCTGCACCATTACCCAAACATGTGATGGTCATAATGGTGAGATCAGTTCAGCGCTGTTCATTTGTTTAACTCTTGTGATTAGTTGGTCTTTCAGACACATTCAAATGTCTTTTCTGTTCTGTTTTCTCACAGCCAGTTGCCTAGTTTCTGCTTCTGTTTTCTTTCTTTTATGGCTGCTTAGCTCAGTTCAAGACATTTTGTTAAATAATTGTATCTTATCTATGCACAATCAGCTTGTAACACTCCAAAGAGAAAGGAAAACTTGAAATCCCATCATATGACCCCTTTAAGTTTGAAAATGTCTGCTGATAGAATGTTTGTCATTCAAAATGTAAATCTAAAATATTTGCCTATTGAATTGGGATTTAACCTTCATTTAATAATTTTATCGCATGTATTGGAAGTCGTTGAAATCCTTTTTTTCAGTTCCCTGCTAGGTCTCTCTCAGGAACACTTTCCTCAATGTCAGTGCGCTTAAAACGTTGATATATGACTGCTGATATTTAGTTATTACCGATTCCTGTGTGTTCGGTTTAGGAGCAGCTTCAGAGACTGGAACTGGAGCTGAGTGAGGTCACCAGGAACAAGGAGAAACTCCAGAAGAACCTTCTGGAACTGACTGAGTACACACACATGCTACGCATCACACGCAACTTTGTGCACCGCAGTGCAGAGGTAGGTCATGTGATTCCCTGTCAAATGTTTGGAACATTTGTTTGAGCAAAAGAAACAGGAAACGTCTGATTGGTGGAAAGATTTGGCCTGCTTTTGTTCTTCATTATATCACTAATATTGTTAAGCAAACAGCTCTTTGTAAATCAAATATCTTTAAAACTCTTGCTCAGTGTACTGTCTGCAGTTTGTCTGTTGATGTCTTTGGTATCATGTTCGACCTCTCTGGTGTAATTGAAAGGAATTCATCTCCAGAGAAAAGGACTGTGGGAATCCCGCAGGTGATTTGGAGTCACCTGATTTTCACTGACTGCCAGAACTTTGCGAGGAGCCAGCAGTGGCTTTACAAATAGGCTTAACTCTTGATGACTTCTTCTTGATCACAGAGGCGTTGTGTGAATCTAATCTCTTGCTGGGTTTTTGCTTGTGTATGAGCAGAGGGAGCCGTCACAGGTTCAGTATGAAGAGTTTCCCTTCCTAGAGAAAGAACCCATGATGGACTACACCAGCATGCAGAGGCTTGGAGCCAAGCTTGGGTGAGCAGTGTTTAAAAATATAAAGCTGAAAGTATACTGCTCTTGCCCATGTCCTGCTTTGGCTCACCAACAGTTAATGTGAAAGAATTTTCACCATCAGCACAGTTTCCTGTTGCACACCTTCCATGCAAACTGATTTTTCTTTTAAAATCATCTTTTTTTTATCCAACATCCTGTTTCTTGTATGCATGTTTAAAAGCACACAAAACCTGTGTTTTTGAATTCATGTTAGTGTTGTAAAGTGGAGCTCATATTCTTCTTGTCCCTCCTGCACAGGTTCATTTCTGGGCTCATCCAGAGCGTAAAAATCGAGGCGTTTGAGCGAATGCTCTGGAGAGTGTGTAAGGGCTACACCATCCTCAGCTACTCGGAGGTAGATGGGCTTTTGGAGGACCCTGCTACGGTGAGACTAGTTGGCATCTCCAACATACTGTAGTTTGATTTTATATGTTGTTTTTGTAACAAAAATGTTTGGCTAAATCTTATTTTTTTTTAACCATTTGTTTCTTTTCTTGTGGTCAGTTTAGCCTTTACTGTAATGCTGGATGCTTGATTCAATTAAAAATAATAATAACAAAAATGGGAATATCTAAGTTTTTTAAGATGTTCTAGTTTGTCTGTTTTGTCAGGGGGAGCCAACCAGGAGTGTGGTGTTTCTCATCTCCTACTGGGGAGATCAGATTGGACAGAAAGTTAAGAAGATTTGTGACTGGTAACTTAGCTCTTAAATCAACTACCTACATTCTACTTGAGGTTATTCTGTTAATCAGTCTGGTTTAAATAACTTTGACCTCCTGTCGTCGTTCCATCGTGCAGTGTGAACACAGCAACAACTGAATTCTACCCCAGATAGTCGTTCAGTGTGAAACCAACAGTGATGCGACGTCTTTGAAAATCGTGCAGTGTGAACTCGGCATAAGCTGCCACATATCTGGGGCAGTTAACCACCAACGCGCTAACTGATTGCGTCACAGTGCTCCTTTTTCATAAAGATTATAAATAGCTTGTTCCCTGTTACATTTAGGGGAAGCTTCATGCTTTCATTTCTTAATCTATTTTAATTCTTTCAGAGCATTTTTGTTCTTAAGAGAAAGTAGAAGTGCTGGGGTTTTGAAAATATTGTTTTTGTTTTCATAGCTACCACTGTCATCTGTACCCATACCCCAACAGTAATGAGGAGAGGACAGATGTGGTGGAGGGGCTCCGCACACGCATTCAGGACTTGCTCACGGTGAGTCCAGATGAGCTCGGTTTCACCTAGGGGTGTGTGATATGATGCTTTTTGATCGTGGACGATAAAAATGTCTCCACGATCTGCTTTTGAAGAAATATCGTAGTATCGTGCTACAGCGCACATTCTGTCAGCTGCAGTTCTGGCGCCTCCGTCTCAGGACACTGCACTTATTCACAGTCACAAAAGTACATTATTTG